ACGCGGTCGATTGCCATAGCTTTACACTTTTTATACCCTGAACCCATTGAAAATGGGTAAAAAGGGTAGAATGTATTTGTGCAAATGTATGTAACAGGCAGAAGGAAGCATCTCCGACCCCATAAAGTATATATATTCTTGATCAGCATCAACAGCCGAGTCGATTTAGCCATGTCCGTCCGTCTGTCCGTATGTATGAACGCAAGGATCTCAGAACCAATAAGAGGTAGAGACTTGAATATTTAGCTGTAGATCCTCCGAGTCCCCGCGCAGATCGAGTTTGTTTCCGAAATTCAATAACTTACCCCGTTTCCAATTAATCGATAAATCTCGATATCGAAATCCTGTTTTTTGAACAATTTTGGTAAATAATAAGAGCTAGAGTCACCAAGTATGACATGTAGCTTCTAGAATAATATATATACATATATTATGTATCTTTCATTTTATAGCAATCGCCACCTCCCCTCTACCACCACAAAGCTATAAATCAAGTAAATAAACCAATTTATGCTGCCCACCAATATAAGCCACAATTTAAATGCAATTGTCATTTGGAGAATACACGAATATAACATAGTACAATAGAAAATTACATCAAGATCGGTTAAGAAACACAGAAGTTATTAAAGAAGAGCTGCTTTGGCTGGCAGCATGCGCAAATTCCAAGAATTTCTGTATCCACATGTATCAACAGCATTGCGATTGTATTGTTTTCTGTGCTGCTATTTTAATTCGTTTTTTTTTCATCAAGACTTAATTATTGGTGTTGCTGTTGGGGAGAGGCGGCGGCAAGTATTGCGGTCAGATGCAAGTTCGAACCCCGCCAAGGGAATTTTTTTTTGTTTTAATTTTTCTTTATTACTACTAAAGTAAACGAGCTCGTAGCGTGAGCTGCATTTGGTGTTGGAATAAGAGGGTCCAGGGTATCCCCTAGTTGGGAGGTCCCGACTAGAACCTCATACTTGTTATACCCTGAACCCATTGAAAATGGGTAAAAGGGGTATAATGGTTTTGTGAAAATATATGTAACAGGCAGAAGGAAGAATCTCCATAAGGTAAATATATTCTTGATTACCATCAATAGCTTATTTGTAAGGATGAACGCGTCGATCTCACAATCTATAAGATGTAGAGACCTGAAATTTGACCGTAGATCCCCATAGTGCTCGTGCATTACAAGTTTGTTTCCTATAATCGATAACTTACCCCGTTTCCAAGAAATCGATAAAAACTGATCTTTTAGGTTTTAAGAGCTAGCAACACAAAATTTGACTTGTAGCTTCTGGGATAGTACATGCAGATCAATTATCTTTTATCTTTTTATCTTTATAAATACCGCTGCATTTGGTTTTGGGAGACTTTCCGACTAGCATTATTAAAATTTAATTTAATTAATTTTGGCGGCGTTGAACTCGCAACTACCTTCACCCGGCCGACCTACTCGTCATCGCCACATACCTTACAGCCATACCAATCGCGCACTTATCTGAGCATACAATTTAACCGCAAACTGATTTTTTATAGAATTAAAACCAGTACGAAAGCTATAGTCGAAAGTGCCTGGCTAGCAATTTCCATAAGCCTTCTTTTTTTTTACCAAACTAGAAGGTCAGTCTTTAGAAGGCGCCTTCGGAGGCGCCTCTCACTTATGGGGTCAGCCAGGACCCTGGCGGCCGCGTTCGGGCTATTAATGTTTTACTTTATACTTTGCAATTTCCTTTATTTCCCCTTTCATTCAACAACCCAGATCATTTAACGTGTTTTTTAAGTGAACATTTTTATTATATATACATGTAAAAATTTACTTAAGCTGTTAAAATTCATAGAAACACATTTTCTTAAGGGTACAAAAAAAAGGTATTCGTTTTAAAGTTTGGTTTTAAAAATAATTGTATATATGTGGATAAACATGAACTGATTTAAATTGTCAATAAATTTTGATTTCTTATAATTTTGTGTATGTTTTTGTATGATTGATTGGCGCTTTTCTAAGCAACAAGTGGTCATAAGGCATGAAATAAAGCAAGACATATGTAATATAAAAATTTGTATATTTTTTTTACTTTTACTATATTATATTAGGTTTTAAAAATAATAGTAAATAAAACACCACAGTCATGATTTTTTTAAGTGAACAAAAACATTTGTAGTAGGGACATTTTTGGAAAATTGCAAATGTTCGTAGAGCAAAATATTTACAAAAGAGAAGCCATAGTAAAAGTAAGAGAAAAATATAAAGCAAGATAGTTTTGCGTTAGTCGTTTGTTTTGATTTTATCGTGTTTTTATATTTCTGGGTATTTTCTTCGTTATTATTTCGTACAAAAAAAAAATAAAATAAATAAAAAGTTTTTTTTCGCTTTTATGTATTGCAAATTTAGATGAACATTTTTTTCTACCTTGCGCTAGTAAGAGTTTTGAGTTGAGTATATATTTATAAAGATTAGAAATTTTGCTAAAAAGTTGATTTTTTCAATTATCAAAAAAAAAACACAACATTATAAAGTGTATGTGATGGTGGAAGAGTATCAAGTGTTTGTGCGCGTGTTTATGTGGGCGTGCAGTTGGCTGCGTTGACTCTGTACAATTGGGTTGACTTGACTAAACCGGGCCCGCGGGGATGTGGCCAAGGGAGATTATATCAGCGCCGTTATCAATTTGGCCTTGAAGTTCACAAACTTTTCGCTCGTGGCGGCAACACGCTATGGATATTGAGAGAAAGTTGTAATAGCACACAAGTCAAACCATTAACCATTTCAAATTCTTACCAATATTAAGTCTTGTACCAGATTGGCCAGACCTCGATTGGCTAAGACAACGAGACGTGTCACTGGGCCGGGAATACCCTCGGTGTAACCATCTGCGGTACGAGTGCTGTCACTGCTAGCATCCGAGTCATCTGTGCTACTGCTGCTGGAGCCGCCGCCGACGCTATTGGCGGCCTCGTCGCCTTGCTGGGTCTGCACACTGCCAGAGAAAAGCTATGCGAATAGGCCAGGATAGTGAGCAGGCAGCGGCAAGGACTTAAGCTTGTCTTGTACTCACGCGCACCACATCCAGCAAAAAGTTACCGGAACCGCCACCGCCGCCCAAACTGTTGCCACTAGGCGAAGCGCCCGAACTGCCGCCGCTTGAGCCGCCAGCCAAACCAGCACCTCCGAAACTCAGGAACCTTTTAAATAAATTACTTATGTTTGTTCGAGTGCATTTTGAAAGTGAAAGGGGGGGGATGTGAACAGAAGTGTTTAATTAGTTGAGTCTCTTGGGAATAATTTTAATTTGTATGGGTTAATGTGTTTGTGCAAAAATCCAATATTTCTGTAAATCCGGTAACTGCTTATAGCTTCACTGCAAGCATCCTTTTATTTTGTTTGTATATATTATTTTGTTTGCCAAGAATCGGCCAACAACTTTGGCTATAAACTGACAGCTAAAGTATCATTTTAAAACGAATTATACAAAATACGAATGGGAATGCGTATTTAAATATTCGTTGTAAAGCTTTTTATATCCTTGCAGAATGTTTTATTATTGTATACCAAGGAAATATCTTGGTTTACATAAAAAATATATTTTTTGATTAGTATTAATGGCCATTTCGATGTAGCCATGTCGGACTGCCTGTCAAACAAAACCCCGCTTAAAGCAATCGTAATGACACTCTTCATATGTCTTTATTGTTGTTGCAGACAGTACTTATGTATGTCGCGCCGGACTACTATGTCATATAACTCCCATGTGAAAAATTGGCCAATGCTTTGGCTTATGAATGAATACATATTTTCGGTATCCGAACCAAACGCAACGAGAATTTTAGGACTCTCGGTATTGAAGTTTCCATGTTGGACGCGTTTATTCATACGGACAAACGGGCAGGGCTTTGTCGCCGCGGCTGTTGATGCTGATTTAGAATGTATTATCTTTATGGACTCGGAAAAGCCTCCTACCTACTGTATCACGCATTTGCATAAGACTATTTACATTTCATTTACGATTTTCAATGAGTTCAGGGTATACAAAATTCAATCGGAATAAAATAGAAGTTTTATTTTATCGGTATACACGTGCTGTAAATTGTGTTTGGTTATTTAATGAACAGTAATATTGTGATGTGTAAGTTGGGCAATTATGATTTGGTGGCTCATGTTATAACTGAATTTTTTGTCGGGTTGCCGCTTACCTCTTGTTGCGATCATCCAGATCAGCAGTATCTTCCACAGAGTCCAACGACAACTCATCTATGGCCGGGGATTTCGATTCTGATAGCTGCAAATCGTTAGTGCTCAGCGCTTTGACATCGGTGGATCCAATGTTGCTGCTGCTACCGGTATTAACCGTTGACAGTTCATTGTTAAAGCTCAGCTGAATGGGCTCGTTGGACTTGAGAGGAATGGGAGCCTGGGCCACAGGTGAGCTTAGCGATTGCGCTACTGCAGCGGCTGCTGCCTCTGCTTCTTTAACCTGGCGCGCAACTCTTATGGTTTCCTCAAGTTGTTTATTAATAGCCGATAGATCGATTTTTGTATCGGTGGCACCGTTCTGTGATCGGAATTGGTGTGCCCGTAGAATTTGCCGCAGAATCGTTGCAACGGATTTCATTTGTATGGGCATTTTTAGCATTGTAAAGAATTTCGAATTTGGAGTTGATTATGTGCATTTGGTATGTGTGATACATTTGGATTCAGTGTATGCGTGTTTCGAGTTGCGGTTTGCGGTGGATTGATTGGTTTGCGTAACACAGGATTTGGCGCAATGTAGCGTACGCATAGTGTTAAGTTTATGCATTGGTATTTGTTTGTGTGTAATATATGTATGTGGTGGGTTTGAAGTAGCATGAATACAAGGTTCGGTGTTGTGTAGGCAAAGTGACATCGGACATTGGTCAATGTGTGTGTGTGTGTGTGTTAATTTTTCGATTACATAATGTTAGGTAGGAGATTATTGTTATTTAAGAGATTGTTCCACATTTTGTTTGGCATTATGGGTTACGGGTTTGGCCAGTTTCGTATACGATGTTGTCATTCAAATATTTGATTGATTAATTGGTGATGAAAAAATGCACGTGCACAAATGCAATTGGTGTATTTTTGTATACATTTTACAATATTTTCGATTTATTACGTTATTATATTGATTATTATATTTTAAATTGCAGTTGATGATATCATTGCGAAAGAGTTTTTCGATTTTGATATACAGATTTTATATCATTTTTCAGTTTTGTTGTTTTAGGTTTATATTATTGTTTTTGGTTATTTGCACAAATCGAATCGGTTTAATGGAACATGAAAATAAAGAAAAAAAGATTCAAAATAAACAAAAAAGAAAACAAAGGCAGATAGATAAATGAGCAATCAATACAGGAATTTTAACGCCACTGAAAGCACAAACGGAAGAGCGCGAGTGTTGTTGCAGAATACCAATAAAATCTAAGCTTAGACCATGGATATCAGAGCAGCGACAGGGTGAAAATGTTAGAGAGAGCGTTCAAATATTGCGCTGAAAATGTTGGTTTTCCAATAACACAGAACATCTCTATGCGAAACTAAAAGAAGCTTTTTAAAACTGAATAAAAGATTTTACAGATAACAGGCAATTTATCAGATGTTATAGAATATAGTTAGTTATAAACTAAAAACGTAACTTGATTTTAAGCCCTACGTTAACTCCTTATAAATTTATTATATGTTCTATGGTCTGAAGTAATAAAAAATGCATCATCCTCGTATCGAAAAACACATTTCTACATTATGGTAAAAAAAGAATACATTTTACTGTCTACAAGAAGTAGAAAATTTTCTATGGCTTATAACAATTTTACATTGGAATTTTTAGTCAATCTATAAGAGATAAAATTTCTATTTTGTAAAAACAAGAGTAAAATTTTCCAAAATCTATTTTGTAAAATTAAGAATATTAATCTTAGTTGTAAAAAAGCTTTTTATCTTACAAAGGTAATTTCTCTGACCTCAAAAGAATTATTAAACGCATGCAGTAGGAATAGGGAGCACGAAAAATAACTGCCTGCGAAAGAATTCTAAACAGTTATCGAGTTGAGAATGCGTGTTTAAATGATACCGACTATGCGACCGAATGAAATGCAATGTGAATACCCTGTGGAACAGTTGAATAATCAAAAGCTATATACTGTCATGATTGCACTCATAAACACAATGTATGCTCATGCGAATGTTGTGAATACGGTCGTGAAATTCGTGAACGTACCCATGAATTATGAATGTTGATAGTGCACTCATTGGCCTTGAACGAGGACGAAAAATGAGCTCAGCAAAGTCAAACAATTAAAAGTATTTTTGTATTTTTAAAATATAGAAAATACACATAACGACTTTTACAATTAATTCAAGTTAAATGTTAATATAAAATCACCTATTATTTTAAGGAAAGGAACGTAAAAATACATAAACAAATTCTTTAAGGAGAGACATGTAGAGATATATGGAGAGAAATGAAGATAGATACGTATACAGAGACAGAGAGTGAGAGAAAGTGAGGAAGAGATAGTTATAGAAAATGCAAATAGAAACATACACACTTTAAAAACATGTTAAGGGATAGTTCGAGAGATAGCGACAGAGAATATTTTGAATGCAGTAAATACGCCTTTAGAGCAATACAGCATTGCATAAAAATGTCAGTATTATTAACATCTTATATAAATTTGTTCATGGTATATTTTCTATTTTGCCGGATTAATATTTTTGTGTTTGGTTGTTGTTGTAGTATTGCCAATTTTCGAAGCTGTTTTGAAAACACGGAACAAAATTTAATATAGATTAAAAGTTGTGCCAATTTATATGGTAATTTTGATGCATCGCTTAGTTGTTGTAGCAAATTACACGCACATTTTACTTTCGACGAGTGGCCCCCTCTGTGGTGGCGTCACGGTTGGATGCAGTGGTCGTGATGCTGCTGCTCTTCTCATTCGTATCAACCTCGTTTTCATTGTCGGGCTCAAAGGTGGGCAGTTCAATGGTGACTCGTGTGCCACTTCCGCTGCTACCAGCGGTGGTGTCGCTCTTGTTCTCCTCGTCATCATCATCAAAGTCTGCATCGAAGGTTTCGCGTGCCGCATTCGCGCTATTGCCCTGGATGGCGGTGCGTAGAACAGTTGGGCCTAAAGTGCGCAGCAGCTTGGAGATGATGCGGTTCGCTTGCTCATCGATTTGCTACAACAACCAGGTTTCAATTTGAAGCGCGGTTTTCGATGGATTGTTGTGGATTGCGGTGCGTGTGCATTGGGTACAGTTTAGAGAATGGTTAGTTTATTTAATTCTTTTATTGTATTGTAATAAGACTTGTGGGCGGATTAATATTGCGGACTGGGCTCATTATGAATACTGACTTAGGACTACACATATATATCAAATTTGGCAAACGCACAAAAAGAAATGTTTAAAAGGGACATTGGGTTAAAACTGTTTTATAACTGGTTATGTTATAAATTTATTAACAAATGATGTGACTAATTACTTGCTTCATTGCCTTTTGCTTACGTTTCACAGTTTGATTCGGAAAAGACATGGTAACTTTAAGGCTATTATTTATGTTAATGATTAGTTAGTTGACAACTAATTGCTTTCACCAATAGCTTAGGTTATTACAAGAAAAAAATGTTTGTTGTATTTCGATTCTGACTAAACTATCTTTAAAACCGATCCCTGAAACAGCATTGTCTGCCTAAATATCATAAATGTGTTTAAAGTTAATGAAACAGGCAATGTTAGCTGAATGGAGCCTGAAGCACTGTTGTATTTGTTGTGGTTGCTGCTTGCTGTTCTTGATGTTTTTGTTCTTGTAATGCACTAGCGAAAATTTGTTGAGTGTTCTACATATATCTGTCTCATTTGCTATTAATCATACACGGGCAATAGTTTCGTAATGTTGTGGTTGTCAATTGTTGTCGCCACTGTTGTTGTTGTTGGCGGTGCAAGAGATGTTGTTGTAGTTGTGGTTGTTGTTGTTAAATTATCTCTGGTTGTAATAAAATAATTGGTAGAGTTTAATAATCGATTTATATCGGCTATAATTGTAAGTAATTGTGGTTCTTCGATGATATTGTTGTTGTCTTTGTTTTTGGGATACTGGGTGGAGGTAGTGAATGTTGAGGTAGGTGCTAATTGGGAATTATCAGTAGTTGTTACACTCGTCACTTCTCTTGTTGTTGCTAGCATTTCAGTTGCAACAGTTGCAGTTGTTCCTCCTGTTGCGCTTGTTGGCTCAGTGCCCAGAAAGCGTGACAACAGCTCGGAGGGCACATCTGTCCCTATTGTTAATGTTTTGGTGGCAATTGTTGTTGGGCTTGGGCTGGGACTAGGACTGGTGGTGGTACTTGTTGATATTGATGATAATGTTGATGCTGTTACATTTGCTTGGCTCTTACGCGCACTCACTTTGTTCACTGATGTTTCTGCATCTGGGGCAAGTGTAGGCAAATCAATTTTGACCCGCGAGCCGTTTTCATCGCTGTTTAAAGCCCCATCAGACGCTGGAGTTGGTGCTGCAGAAGCAGACGGTACATCATCATCATCATCATCGGCAAAGCCGTCGTCATCAAAGTCGGCATCAAAGCTGCTGGAGGGTGTCGTGCTGCCCCTCGCACCACCACTGCCGCGATTTCCCGCTAGAACGCTATTGAGCAGACCTGGCCCGGCTACGCGTATTACTTGAGCTATAATGCGATTAACAATCGAGTCGATTTCCTAAGAACGAGACAGAGAGGTATGCAAAAAACTGTGACAGGCTTGCTTCCATCAATCCATCATGACTTGATATGATGATTTTTTGTTGTTGTAGCTGTTGTTTTTTTGTTTTTTGCGTCCATGAGTTGCTGCGATGTTGAGATGATATAGTTTTTTTGTTTTGATGTTTATTTTTATTTTGATTTGGTGCTGTTTTTTGGTACTTGCTGCGGTACTTCTGTTGTAGTGGATTGTCTGGGGCGCTTTAGAAATTTGTGCACTGCAACATTATGATTGGCCAATTGTCTGATGTGCGTGTAGTTGAATTCAATTGCTGATTGGTTTGGCATAGGATTTTTTTTGGTTTCGTGTATTATTTAAATATGATGAGCTTTTGTAGGTCGCATGCATAGGTAGGTGGGCGGTATCATGGTGTATTTTTTAGGGAATTGAATATGTGCATAAGCTACTGGCAAGTGGAGTGGCACAGGTCTAGTTAAAGATACGAGTATATTGAGGCATGCAGCTTGATTGGGTAAATGAGATAATCAACTAATCGACGGAATTTCAAATAAATGCCAATATGCTAGCGCTTCATATTCTACGGGTTATCTTTAGTTGTCCTTCTGATTGCTGTCAAAGTCCTCTTCGGGCTCAAAGTTGGTAAGCTCCTCGGGTAGGCGTTCATAATTATTATCAGTCGGTAGAACCGTATCATTATCATCACTAGTTTTGCGGGCAGCACCTCCCGCAAAGGCGGGATTTAGAACTGTGCCCAAGACGACAGGCCCAACGCGTTGCAGTATATTATTGACTAGACGATTGATTTGCATATTGATTTCCTAGGAAATGTTCAGGCAATACAACAATTAACAATAACAGAGCTGTATGCCGCTCCGAACAGCTAAATGGGTTCATTGAATGTATCTATGTTAATATATAAATCAATATGGACGTTTCGCACCTAACCTGACTGAAATACTGCTTCTGGGGCTGCTCTTTTCGAACTATTCTTGATTATTATACGCACCTTTGTTATGTCGGGGAAGAGTTCGCGCAGCAGTCCAATAGTTCTTTTGTTGCGATCGGCTATCAATTGATCTTGATCTTTTGCGCCAAGTGTCAAAACATCGATTTCCTGGAAGGAACACAAACAAATTTCAAATATAATGCATTACATAATTCAAATGGCAGAGAAATATAAATATAAATCGCAGACCCAAACTGACCGAATCGAGTAAGCAAATCCCAAAGATAACTACCCACAAGCAACTCAACAATTGACGAACTTTCACTTTGCACAATGAGGCAGTGAGTTGGTGATCTCGTCTTTGTGTGCCTGCCATTTGTAATCACGCTTCAAGTGCACATACACTTCTGATCGAAATCATGTACACTACCATAATTTGCCTCAAAGCTGATATACCTCTAACTGAAAGCAGCACTGCAAATCTATTTATATTTTAGCTGTGATATTTATTTACTTTAATGTTGAATGAAAATATAAATGTTTTATTTTGTTACAAGCTTATTGCGATTAACAACAATTTAGATGTCCCAAATAGGGCTATATTCAAACCGAGCTAAAATTGGTTATAGCACTGTGCTTATACCCTGTACTCATTAAGAATATGTAAAACTGGGTATCATAAAGTTGCGTAAATGTGCGAACGCACATTTCAAAAACATTCTCAGAACAACAGAAGTTTTCGTATATCATGTGCATATAAAATGCATTTAAAATCTATAGCTTATTTTGTTCATCCTCGAGCATATTTCGGCAATTAAAAGAGCTTGAAACGTGTAGCATGCATATATCAATAATAGTTTGAAAACTTTGAAACTTCTGATAGTTTTAGAGCTACATAAATATAAAGTTATCGCTTAAGTGTAGAAGGTTCGTATTCTGCTGATTCCATTTTGCTAGTGGGCTTTGAATTCTCCTTAAGTCGTTTGTTTGCTGATGAACTCGGCCTTAATCTCTTACTCACTCAGCTCTATTTATGCTCCCTCAATAGACTGAAGTCATTTTGCCTAGAGTTTCGACAACAAAAGGTTATTTAAAACTTGCACAGCTCCCTCAGAAAGTTAGACACAGAGTGTTAGAGAGAAAGAGAGAAAAGGGGGGAAGAGAAAAAGAAAGAAAGAGGTATAGAGACAGAGAGGGACACTGGATAAATGACTATACAAGTCTAGGAAAATATTGCATTAAAACATTTTAAGTGAAGGCATATGAAATGACTTGGACAATCTACAGCACGAATCATTGGACAGTCAGTGCAGGCAATGATAATTGAAGCAAGCCATTTGCAAGCTCCAGCATAAAAAATCTTATATGCATTCGCCACTCTTGGAGCTAGAGACTTTAAACTTTGAATTTATATTCGGGCAAATTGAAAAACTTCGTCCCCCAAAAATGAATATATCGATAGTTTCCTACAGCCAAGCCTGGATAGCTACAGTGATAACAGACCAAAAGTCACATATCGAAAAATCAAAATTAGCCTTTTGGTTGATATTTTGCAATATATCGATTTCTTGCCAAGCTTTTTCGCAATTCTTGCAGGAGACACCCTGCAAAACCTTTGCAAACTCTACAAACAATCTAGCTTTCTTCAATACATTCTAACCCATATCATATTTATACACATACGCACGCTGCGTGGCGTGCGGCTCTTACTAAATTTTACACGAAGTCTCAAATTTTATACTTATCGATATCCTGACCTGGACGATGGGCTGAGTTGATTTAGCCATGCCCGTCTGTATTGACACGTCTATCTCGGACAGTACAAAAGTTAGAGTTGTCGCAAATCTTATGATTTTTTTTATTTTCATAAAATCGATTACTATTTATTTTGAGACAAATTTCGAAGATTTTCTGAGCTATATACTCCACGCTTAGTGTGTAGGTTCTCGTATTGTATAACATATATACATATCTCTTTTTGGATACCATATTTCCCTAAAGTTGTAAAAACTAATTTTGAATACCAAAGGGCTTGTACTTTATTAAATGGACACGTTTGTATACCATGTTTCTTGAATTCATTTCCCATGTAGAAGAAAGCTAGAATGTTGGTACCGGCGGTTGGCGATGGGTTTAGGGTATCTCCTAGTCTGGCATATTATAATTAGAAGATGCCATCGCTGATGTTATTATTGCTGGGATAGTTGTTATTGTTATCAGTGTTTATTTGTCTCAAAAGTCAGTGCGGAAGTCGCTTTATACACGGGCGGAAGGTAATGCCAACGAAAGACTAACTTTTCTTAGTTTTGACAGCAACCTGTTTTGCTATTGTCAGCTTCACTCCGCCATCCACTCTCTATTGTGCATTGTCACCTCTCTCTCTCTTAATGATCCATCAAATTTAAGCAGTTTGTCAACTAAGTGCGACAATTGTTAAGTTTTAACGAGAGAAGGAACAACTCTCGACCCAAAGTTGTTTAATGAATTTCAAATTGGCGGAATTCACTCGCGTACAATTAAAACTTAGTATATTCCAAGCAATCTCATTAAAGATAACAATGTGAATTTTAACTAGCCGATGCATTAATGCGTTGGGGAGTCTCATTGTGACTATGTACGCATACTGTATACTTATTAATTCGGAAGTCAGAAAAAAATTGCAAGTAACGCTCTCAGTACAGTTTTATTAGCAGCAAATAGGTGATAAACTAGCCAACTAAAATTGCATACCACTTTAAAGACACAGTGTGCAGGAGGCGCAGAAAAGACAAAATACTTTTTTGTTTCTTAAAGTTAAATTGAAGAAAGTTATTGTTTTAAAACAAATTCAAACAGAATTGTTTTTTTTTTGTTCAATTGAGGCAAGACTATTTACGACGAGAGCAGGAATTAGCTTCCTGGTTAGCATTTAACTAGTTTGTTGATTGCTTTGCAATAGGTGTGAAGAACTATGTAACTATGCAACCGATATGAAGAACTACTACTACTACTAAGCTCAATTTCAAAGATCTTTGTGAAAATTCACATTCACAATTTACAACTCACAACATACAGCCGTTTTCCACTTTGAATATTACGAATAGTGTACAAAGTGAAAAGCAAAACTGAATTTGAACTCGAAACTTTACCTATAAAATCTTTGATCCCATTTTCACCAAGAAGAAATTTTTGTTTTGAAATTCAAATGAATTTAAATAATAAACTTAGAGCATGAGCCCAAAAAACCCCGTCTTAGCGTCTATTAACCTCCATTACACAAAGTTAGAACTTCAGCTTTCCAGTTCTTATGGTTTGGGCTCTTCATTGGGCACAAATCAGGTAATCAGTCAATCAGTGAGGACGTAAACGAAATATTCGATTTAACATAAACACATACACATACATATTGTATATGCCCATAATATAAGCAGAGACACTAGAAAACAAGTAAGGACGCTGTAGTGGAATGTGCTCGACTACAAAATACCCTGTATCCCCAGTCAATATAAAATTTTCGTATTTTACATAACGGTTTGAATTCTTGAAATCATTAAATATTGCATAATATGAATATCAAATGAGCGGCCAACTGCGCAACTTTTTGAATAACTTCAATGATTGCGGTCCGATCTCAATTAACTTAATTGTTTTCTGTGCTGCTATTTTCTCAATAAAACTCAAGTATTGGTGTGGCTCTTGAGTAGGGGCGGCGGCAAGTGGTGCGGTTAGTTTGCGAGTTCGCACCCTACCAAGGGAACTATTTTTTTTTAAGTTTTTTTTATTACTACAAACGAGCGCGTAGCGCGAGCTGCATTTGGTGTTGGAAGAAGAGGGTTCAGGGTATCCCCTATTCGGGAGCTCCCGACTATAACCTCTTACTTGTTTTTTTTTTTAACTTTAGGGGAAGTGAAATAGATAATCTAGTTTTGCTTATGGTATAGGAGAATATTTATTTTAAATTTCAAGTTGAAATGTTTATAAAATCGATCTGACAGATAAATATGGTTCAAGTTATGTTAGTTTAATAATGGGTTCGCCTCTTTCTGCCTTTTACATACATTTGCACAAAACCGTTATACCCTTTTTTTTTTAGCCATTTTCAATGGGTACATGGTACATAATATACATGTATTGCATATAGGCAATACTTTGCCAACATTTTAAACTAAGCCTGGCCTATTTTTATATATTTATTATATTTGTATTTATATTATATTATAGGAAAAAAAACATTTTGTTTTTATTTACGTTTTACAAGTTGAATATTACCAAAAATAAATGAAAATAAACAATAATAAACTTTGCTATAATTAGTGCAACTTGAAAATGGGGGTCAGGGTTAAAACCCCAGTATCAATTTGTGTTAATTTATTTAATCTTTGGTACTCTGACGATATCAAATCTTGTCTAATGGGCTCTAAGAGCATTAACATAAATTCCAATATATACATTAATCTGTGTCTGCTTGAATAAGTAGTTTGACCTTAACCAACTTAATATATTGACATATGCAAATGCAAGAGAAACACAAAACATAATACAAAAACAAGAATGAACGAGTATCTTCATTTGGCTTTCCGTTTTGATCAAATGTGAGGTAAATAGCTCGTTATTGCTGAATTTGGTAAAGATATCTTGAGAATCAGGACATTTTGACAAAAGTTCATTTTAAGAATGAATTTATAATTTTAATTCTTCATATATATCTAATTTATAAATTGGAGCGATGTTGATGAGATTTTTCTCATATAATAGTGGGAGGTTCCTACATATGTACTGCCTGTAGTAGAGTGGCGCACCAATTCAAGTTTTATAAGGATAGCTTTAAAAATAATCGACATTGTATAAAAACAGACAGAGGGAGAGACGGAAATGGATAAATCGAATCGCCACGAATATTTATACTCGTCGGGGTTGGAGGTCTTGTATATACGTTACATATTTTATGATAACAAGTAAGAGGTTCTAGTCGGGAGCTCCCCCTGAACCCTCTTATTCTAACTTTGCTTTAGTAGTATTAAAGATAAATTAAAACAAAAAAAAAGTTCCCTTAGCAGGGTTCGAACTTGTAACTGATCGCATTACTTGCTGCCGACTCTACTCAACAGCCACACCAGCCAAAAAAAATATTTGTCTCGGCAGGGTTCGAACTCGTAACTGAACACGCTACTTTCCGCCGCCTCTACTCA